GATAAACGTTAATTGTGAAATAAAATATTGCAAATTTTCTAATATAAAAACCTTTAAATTATTTCTAAAAAGCAATGAATAATTTTATTAAATAATACAAAAAAAATTCGAGTAAGAGATTGAAAATTCAGCAGGAAAATCTTGAAACTAAAAGAATTTAAGAACGAAAGTCTATATATTCTATAGAATAACTTTTATAAAATACTGTATAATTTTAAATATTTTGATAAAAATAATAAACAATAATCATCTTTTAAAGCTATAATATAAACATTGAACATTAGACAAAAGAAATTTGACGTTCAACAAACGAACAGTAGCAAATTTTGTTCATAATAAATTAATTCTAACTGTAGTGTATTTACACCACAGTCAGAATTATGCTTGTCCAGCTTCTTGACGTCACGAAGTAGTGACATCTCGTGGTAAAAAACAGAACTACGGTTATGGAATCGTTCTGTAATTAGACGCCAGTGTAGTTTTAATACTACATAAAGTACGCTATACAATTTTACTCGATTCAGTACTGTGAGAAATATTACTTGGGATGAAATAATTTTCTATTTTTAACATAAGAAATTACATTTCTTATGACATTCACATTAACTCTACATATAATTAAACGTCATCATTTCAACAATGGTTTTTATGGTTATTGTTAAACAATACTCACAAACAATGAAAATAAATTAAGCATTGCAACAGAATTTCGGAAAGCTGAAGAGTTTCCATCGGAAAATTTCGAATGGCATTTCATCCCGGGAGCACGTATCGGTAAGATGTATTTGGCTTGGGACCCTGAGACGAAATCCGAAGACCATTGTATGAACGGAGAGATTACGGGTTCAGCGTAGACGCTTTAAAACGACTGGGTAAGCTCGCGGTTTCACTACAACACATCCTTACATACACCTCTCACGATAACATTCACAATTGAATTTTGTCATTCAATCCTACTGATGTTTAGATCTAAAAACCAATCACATAGAGCGATAGTTGATGTTTGATGATCCACCAATAATTGAAATATTCCTCGTCGAGTTCGGATTTTGTATCACTGTAATTAATTGGTGTATTGTTAGTGCNGAATCATTATCTCATTTCTTCGGCGCACTCATTCATTTATATATTCACGCATCTTCGCTATACACAACACCGTCACATAACACACTGCTTCCCAAAATCCAACCCCTAGGTCCTCGTCCTGAGAAGTGGAAATGTCACTCGATGATTTCGAGTGGCAGATAAAGGGAGTCTGGTACACTAAATATTCGCACTATGGTGTTTTCATAAACTTTCCTGTACAATTTTCTGACAAATGATATAGGGAAAATTTCATAGAACTGCTGAAACTTTAGAAACAATTATTTAAAAATGCAGACTGTAATAATAATTATGCTTAAACTCTTAATATAACGAATACTTCAGCGTTGGATCCAATACAGCAGTTGGATTGTTAGGATGAGCCGTTCTGCATGAAAGAGGTGCCGAAAGAAGCAAAACACAAATTATACAAGCCAAGTATTCATACCCGGATGGCTCATAAGGTTCGCATCCAGGCAAAACAAATGGAAGCGGTCTGACATCAAACTTTTTCATAGATTCCGCGGACACCATTTTACTTTTCCGGATATATTGTGTGTAACAAAGGGAAAGTTTAGAGATCGATCAAAAACTAATCCCCAAGATTTTTGCATTTTTGGACTCGGTCGTAAAACCGGACCTTAAAACGTAGATAAATGCAAAAAACTCGGAGTTTTCTTTTCTCTGTGTGGATATTAGTGTGTGTGCCTAAAAATCTGGTAACATATCTTTCTTTTAGACTTAGTATAATTGTTATCACTGTCAATATCTAACAATACTGTCTGAACTCTTGTCATCCTACATT